AGAAATTCGTTATTATTATTATTATAGTGTCAATTTGTTTTGGCTTTTATTCTTTTGTTAAGAATTTGAAGACAAACATTGAACATTGTATTCCCCACTATGATGAATGTGAATCAAAACTCAACATCACATGCATGCATAATTAAATTCCCGTGATTTTGAAATTTTTGTCACACAGTATGTGTCAGTTCTTCCAATCACAAAGGCGTTCAAATCTTCAATTTTACCAATTTATTCATTTTTACCCAGAAACCAGTTCGGGCTAGTTGCGTTTTGTAAAACCCGGTCAACGACAACCTTGTCAATCGACTACATTTGTGCTTTGCAACACAAACAAGGTATGTGTGTCTCCAGTTTGGATCCCAAGGGACATGAAATTCACGGATGATTGTATTAGTAAAACGATCGATTTTGATGATTACAGTGTCAAATAGGTGTTTACTTACCTGGAAAGTCTGTGGGGTCCTCACACCATTGATCAGTTCGCTTGTTTCTACAACATAAAGCTTGCGAGATTCAACTCTAGGTGATTTCAACCTGGAATGGAAGCGGTTGATGCTTTGCTGCAGAATTGGCACAACGGCGTTAAATGGATAGTTACCCCCAGCCTGGCACACATTAGGCTGTGCAACCCACACGGTACCTTGCACAGTACTGCTGGGGATCCGCTTATTTCTGGATTTTGTTATGTCAGGACGGGATCCATTGGAATTCCTTTTGTACATGATTGGGTGTTTTACGTGTTTGTCATTGGCAAGGCCAAGAACAAGTTCCTTAGTTCTAATCCTAACCGTTCTCCAGTCGTAGCATTATTCATTGACTTTTCGGTCCCCTTAGAGTAGACTGTCAGGCGAATTTTTTGCTTGTAGAATATTGCAGATATATATAAGGAATAAAAGATTTCATTTGATAGACGTTGTCGTGAGCCCGGGCGTATAGGGGCAATTGACATGAACCTACATGGAAAAAAAATTTGGGACAACTGTACAGAATTTCAATTTTTCATACTTCCTCGCTGAAGCGTCCACCTTCATCCCCTCCCCACCTAATTTATGTTGATTTCATAATGAAAGGTTTGTTGTTAAACAGCACACTCATGTACGAATCTCCAACATTGAAACAAGGGGGGTAGGGGACCGCAAAATAGGGGAACAATGAGACACAAAAAAGTTTACACCACCCATATGTTGTCACATTCTATTTTGTCCATGATTGTCTGTGAAGTGTGTTATAAAAAAAAAGATTGAAAACAGAAAATATATGTAGAATCTTAGGCTTTATAATGATGTTGTGTTTTTGATTGACGTGTTCATGACTTTGTGCTATCCCTGTGTCCGAAATGACGTCACAATTCTAATTGACAATTTATTCGCGCAATGTCAGAGCAAAAATGTGGCGGGAAATCTTTGCTTTGCAGAAAGCATATGCCTTATTGCAGTTGGAAGGAGGAGAGTATACATTAAGAGAGATTGCGAAGATGTCAAAGATTTCGAAGAGCACAGTTCAAGGGATTTGGAAGGACAGAAAGGTTTACTTACGTGGTATACAACCTTTAAAGATGAAGAGAAAACCTGGAAGAAAGCCGAAATTGACAGAAAGACATAAGAGGATTCTGGTAAGGAGTTTGAAACGATTGAGACAGCTTAATGTGAACTTCACATCTGCTGACTTGCTGTGACTCAGGAATAGACGTATCTATAGCAGATCGTAGGACTATTACCAGATATCTAAACAAGATGGGCTATCATTTCATGCAATCCCGCAAAAAGGGTCTTTTGACAGAAAAAGATAAAAAGCTGTGGTTACCACATGCAAAGATTATGAAGGGCGTGCTTAAACAAACCCCGGAATTCTATACCAGCCACATAGCATTTTACTTAGATGGAGTATCGTTTGTACATAAATACACCCGAATGCAAGAGGCCCAAAAACCAAAGGCGAGGGTATGGAGAAAGAAAGGCGAGGGGTTACAAATAACAGCAAAGGGAAGCAAGGAACTATCAGGAGGGCGGCGACAACACCTTATGGTCGCAGTTGTTTATGGAAAGGGTGTCGTCTTGTGCGAACCTTACGAAAAGTTAAATGCTCAATTTTTCGCCTCTTTTATTAGAGAACACTTCAATTTGACATTCGCTAAAGCCGGCCCTAAAGTTAGAAGATCTACGAACGAAATTAACAGTATGACGTGGTGGCGTCAAAAAGCCACCCATTCCTCCAGAACCTTTACGCAATGACAAGAATAGTAAAGAAGAGCAGATAACTTCATCTGTGTGTGAATAGACCTCTCCGCCTCCACGAGCTCGATAAACTATGAGAGGAAAAGAAAAAACTTGAGGAAGAATGCGAACAAAATTATTTTAATCTTAAAAGATCTTAAATCATTAAAAGACGATGAAAAGACAAAATATTACACTGGACTATCTAACTTATCTCTATTCATGTCACTGTTTATCACCTTCCAAGTCCCTCCAAACTAAGTTCCAACACCTTTTATTTGTTCTAATGATATTAAGGCTAGGTTGTCAAATCCAAGATCTTGCTTACAGATTTAATGTTTTAAAACCACACATTTCTAAGAACTTTTTTTCAGATTTTAGATATTTTAAATACTAGACTCGGTTTTCTTATTAATTGGCCAAACAGGGAGGAACTACATAAAACTATGCCTTTAACTTTTCGAGAAAAATTTGCGAAAAGAGTTATTATGCAGTTATTACAGATTTTTATTTTGACTTTTTATCGAAGTTTTCATTGAAACACTATCAAACTTTAAGCCTAGAGCACAAACTTGGCCTTCATATAAACACCATTACTTGGGATATCACCACAGGGAGTAGTTACCTTTTTGTCTAAGGGTTGGGGAAGTAGGGCAAGTGACAAGTGCATCACTGAAAATAGCGGGTGTTTAGATAAGATTTTGTCTGGCGATCTTGTTTTTGCAGTTCAAGGTTTTAATATTTCTGAAAGTGAAATATCTGATGATAGCTGATCTTAAAATTCCGGCATTCACTAAAGAGAAGGGTCAATTATCTGACCTTAGTTTCCAATTCACTAGGTTTTCTTTGTTATTCATAGGGTTGTATATACCATAGAAACTTAAAGCCGGGGAGGGATTTGATATTCAGCAGGGAAATGTGGGGTTGATGAATTGAATTGAATAGCTCGTTATAAATTCAGCGGGCTATATATGAGTGATCGGAATCACTCATATAGCCCGCTGAATTTATAACGAGTTATTCAATTCAATTCATCAACCCCACATTTCCCTGCTGAACATCAAATAAACTAAGTAAACTAAACTATTTTTCCCCTAAAAAAGACCAGTGCGGTCAGCAAAACTTGAGGAGATTTAGAGTGTAATAAGTTCGAGTCCCGCAGCTTTTCTTCATATGTTCATCAGAGAATAGAGACAACAATAACCAAGATCTTCGCCGTTACTTTTAAAAGAATCTATTCTTCGGAATTAACCAACGTGTATGAATCAGAAGTAATCGGTGTGACTTGGTCCATTCTATCCAAGCACGTACACACGGCCATTTGGTACTTTAGTTTGTTCCTTCTTGAATCCTTCCCTCGTATTTTTTCGAGCGAGTTCAACATCAAAAACTATTGTAATTTTTCTCATTTTTTCCCATCTGCAGACTTTGTCATCGTTATTTGCGGGAAGAAGCATGCGGAGTTCCAAATCCGATAGCAAATCGTCAATATCAAAGTTCGTCAAAGGAATGATGTCAAACGTATTTTGAGCTATAAACAAATCGTCGTCACTGTTCGACATCGTTTCCAGAATGACTGCTAAGAATATTTGATAACAATATTCAAATTTCGATTGCTCGCTTTCGCATGAACAGGTTTTCTTAAAGGAAACTAATTTCAACAGTCCATGAAAAAGTCTCAAGAGAAGAGGATTGTATTGTTCGAAACCCAACTAAGAAAACATTCATTAAGTCTATTCAGGTTTTGCGAAAACCACGTGAATTGAAAACTAAGTTTGTTAGTTACCTCGCACGCCTGCGGCCCTCGGGCTGTATATAGCGTAATGCCTCCGTTCTCGGTAACTAACTCTTACTAGATGTGGAAATAACTAGGATGATAGCACATAGAAAATAGTACGTATTCATGTTGAGAGGGTTATAGGCTGCCTTCGACAGAAGTATTTGATTTTGCAATACACTCTTCCTATTACATTTTTGCAAGTTTGTCATGCCCAGGGCTTAACTACTGTAAAATTCACTGTAAAAATCAAGTCAAGTGACTCCAAATGTAAACACGTCGCGAAAGTTCGGACAACGAAGAGATTTGTTTTGATTCACGTTTACACCGAACCCTAAACACAAAATTTCTGCGTTTCACTGATTTTACGCCTTACTATTTGACTTCTGATAATAAGAAAAGGATTTTTGATCCTATTTTGGAAGTTATTTCATTTATTCAGTTCGTTTTTACAGTAATTTGAAGCTTTTAAAACAAGATGAAAGGTCGTTTAGCGTTCGCGTAAAATGTGAATCTTTCAGCGACAGTGTGTATTACTAGTAGTACAGTTATGGATTTTAATCAGATGAGTGTAAATGAACTTATGGATTTTCTTCAAGACCACGAAGTTACAGCAAGTGAATATCTCAAAAGCGCACTGATTCAGATTGCTTCCTCGGTTCAAAGGCTTTATCTACCAAAACAGCAGCAATCCAATAAAGACGAGTCTTCAGACAGTGTAGTCAACGTTGTTACAATCCATGATCCTTACACTCTTGAGGTTAAAAATGACTTTTCAAATTCACCTCCTTTTGGTTTATATGACATATTTAATTTTTGGATTTACAACACCACAACATATGATAAATAAGGACTTGCAGCGTACAAGAATTTTGAAGACTATCGTTTATTTAACGATGGACACGTCGAGTCGCTGCTGTGTTGTTCGATACTATGGAAAGAAGTTCGATACTCAGGAAAGAAGATCTACGAACTTTGGTTTATAATCGAGGGTAGAGGAGTTAACCGAGTCGCCGTTCTAAAAGCCAGGTGCTTGTGTTTAGATGAAAGGGATGGTGCTTGCAAACACATAGCAGCCTGTATGCGCTCTCTACAGGACTATTTGAATACTACTAAGTGTTTTCTAAAAGTGTTTTCTGCACTTGTGCTTTCGAGAACTGCTCTTGGCCTCGATTGCCTGGTGGGATATGAAGTCTTGCATGTCTAAGTATCAGGTCTTCTGCAATTGTAAACCCTCTATCGGCCATTACTTCGTCAAATCATGTCATAGCATTTGCATTCTCTTGTCAAGTGGACATCGGATGTTTTTCCTCCCCATGCAGTGGAAACAAAAAGGTACCATTGGGAGTTATTGAAACTAGTATTATAAAACTCATTAATATTCATAAGGCAAAACACAATAGAAATCATAGCCCATGAAGAGAGTTGTATATCACATACAGATTTCTTGTTCATTTGCATAAACTTTTACTCTGATTTTCTCAGTCAGATTGAATTTTTTTTCAAAAGTTTCTTTAAAACCTGAGCTAATTTACCTTAACGTTTCATAAGTAATATACAATATTCGCGTGCGATCTGTATGAGGATCTAAAACAGCTCGCTTTCAGCTCGCTGTTTTAAATCCTCATACAGATCGCCCGCTCATATTGTATATATTACGTTTAGCAGTGTTGTGGTGCTTATAATCTGACCAGGTTGATGCCCTTAGGACTGGATCACTTGGGGTCTCTAT